TGAGTGATATGGTCATTATGGCTCTTTTTCTCCAAAAGTCCCTTCAAAAGTTCAGTAATTACTATTTGGAAACACATACATACATTAAATTACAATATGCGCTAAGTTTGCAAGAACCTTGTGTTTCTTCTAGAAAGCTACTTGTTTTTTTTCCTCTAACAGGGATAAGTTAAAATGAATAAAAGATTTTAAGTACAGTCTCACGCTTTGGGTATGACTGGTGAATCCAGCTTGAGTTAAAGTTTAACACAAGGGCTAGGCAGGCCCTGGGTTCCACTCATGACCAGAGTGAGGGATGTGGGTTTCCAAGTGTAATGACCCTTTATGAAACTACCTAAAGACTATGAAGCTGTGGCAGGAGAGTACTCCTCAACATCGTGAACATTTTGCTCATCACAACTTGAAATGATCAAAATAATTAGTGTTGTAGCTGTCAGTGTTAAGATTCCTTCACATGCAAAGGAAGGAACTTTTCAAATTGGAATGAAGGAAAGGCGAAGCCTTTGGTTGCAGTCAGTAGGAGGTTGGGGGCAGCTCCCAGCATGTTGGTACCCAGTGTCCCCCAGTGTTCTTTGTGTGTCCCTGCGTGGGGTGTTCCTCTGTGCTGAATTCCTCTTCCGACAGGCTGGCTCGCTGGCTGTCCACTTGGCGATAGTGGTGATAGAACAAGCTTCAGGTATTCACTTCTCACAGCTGGTCACACCAAAGTAGGCATCTTGGCCTCCCTCTCCCTGTCGTCTATACCAAGCTGCCCCTGGGCTCTGCCTGGTCCCCCTGGGTCCTATACCTGTCGCAAGAGAGGAGCGGTTTCTAAAAGAAAGGCCTGCAGAGAGGACCAGCAAGAGGCCAAGGGGATTCATGCTCTCAGGGAAGTTCGAAGTCATTTTTGAGATGTCACATCATTGAGTTATAAAGAAAAGCAGTTCAGAAAAGCTGAGATGGATATTACTGGGGAGGGAGGGCTTTACCCGGTGATGTGCGACCTCCACCCCTGCCTGGGGCCCCATTCTCCACCCACTCATTGTGCCATGGAATGAAAATAACCGAGATCCTGCCTTTTGAGAGCTTAAGGGAGCACCTCTGTGGGACTGACGGACCTTAGTTTGTGTTGCTGTTCTTGAAAATGATTTCTCTTTCTTTCTGGTGTCATCTAGGCAGTTTAGAATATGCTAGAATTTTGGTGAGATTTAGCAAATAGGATGTCAATCCATTAGCAGTCACCTTAAAAGAAATTTTGTTGTTCTTCATCTTATTGAATTTTGTTATGTGAACAAAGAAGAGAGACAACATTAGAAGAATGCACTTAGACCTTCTTTTCTACCGATGGAATGGGGTGGCGGGACGGCGAGATTCATATTTTACCATCAAAAACAGGAAGATGATTTTTCCCCAGTAACTGAATAACTTCTAAAAACAGTTTCTTTAACTTCTGTGTCAGCTTTGGGGTTCAGCCTGGACTTTTCTGTTGATTTGACACGAGGACTTTATGTGGGGCAGTTTGTGGAGAGAAGAGGAATCTTTTTTGGGTCATTTTTGCTTTTACATGACATTTGGTGTGTTTAACGTGCAGAGGTGAGGATCCAGCAGTTTGTTTTAGTTTTTGTATTGGGTATGGGGCAGGGAAGTGGGCATAACCGTCTCTCTAGGAATCTCTCCCTGGGGCACCCTTGCCTGCTCTCCCGTAGCCATGGGGACAGGGTGGGTGAACAAGGCCCCTCCTCGCTCCCCGCCATGCTGTGCCCACCGCCTATTCTGCACCACACAGCAGGCGCTGTTCCTCCCAAGCGCGGCCTTGGCATGAAGCCCACACGCACCCGTACGGAAGGCATGCAGGCCTGGGACACAATGGCTAGTTCCGCCAACTCACACAGCACAGGGGTCTGCCGCGATGGGATCCACATCACAGAATCACCATAGGCGCTGGGCAGGTGGGGAAGACTGAGTCCTGGCCCGGATTACCAGGTGTGACTTAATAAGACCCATCACTGATCCATGAGGATGCAAAATAAAGGAAGTGAGTATTAGCTCCCGTTAGGTGCAAGAAAACAAGTAAGTTACAATCTCAGCGTTGCAATAAAAAATACCGTATATTCATGTTTGTAACCAGTTTGGATCATATTACTCTGCCTTTTACTTTAAACCATATGTATTTCCTGTGTATTATTACTTTCTTGGAGGGACTTTCTTGGAGTTCACAAGGTCCAAACTTTGTTAAATATTTTTGTAACGTGTTCTTCCAACAATTATAATAAACACTTGATCTGACTTTCTCCTGCAGGAACTCGAGTTCCAGGACCTGACGGCTGTCCTGCACTGCATCCACTCCTTCCTAGCAGCCAAGGTGGCCTCCGTGGACCCCGGCTTCATGGACAGTCAGAGTCTGGCCACAAAGTACATGTACAACAGCTAAGGGTTGTTTCTGTTGAGTGCTGAAAAATTAAATTATTTTCGTAAGAAATGATTCTTTCCTGCATAATATTGCAACTTTGTGTTGTTTTATAATGAGCCTATAGTTGTGATACCAATAAAACATGTCACTAGTTTCCGAAGATGGGTCCTCCTTGTTAAATCTGACATGGGGCATGCCTGGTCCCCTCTTCCCACGAGTCTCCCCTCAACGAGGAGCCCCAGCATCCCCCACACAAGTCTGTGGCTCAAACTCCAGTCCACCTGATGCAGTTCACGCCCCTAGCCCGCATCCCAGCAGCATGAGAACCGTGTGGGCGTTGCACACGCCACTTCCCAAGTTGGCAAAACCCAGATTTATTTTCATAAAATATGTCGTCACAAATTCTGAGCAGGTGCCACGTTTCTCCTCAGGAAGGAAAGGGTCTTCTTTGCAGTGGGGCTGTCACTTCCCTTCTCCTCCAGTGGGGATCAGAGTGACAGGATTATTTGAGAAACAGGCATTGGTCAAAATATGTGGGGAAAGGAAATCAACTTTAATTCCTTAATATTATAATCTTATTACATATCAATCTTCATGCTTATAAATGTATCATACATTGAATAACATACATAAATGGGAATTTTAATTGTTTCCCTAATTCATCAAATATAGCATGCAGTTTAGTTTCCGTGTTTCTCATATTGTTTATGACTTCTAAGTAGGGATACTTTGTATTTTTGTTATTAATGGCAATTGACTGGAGTTACTTGAATTTTTTTTTTTAGAGATAGGACTCTAGGTGGAAAAATAAGGATTAGGCACTTGCTTGTCAAGCCTTCAAATAAAGGACGAACATAAAACCATCAATCTACAAAGTATAGGAAAGTAAGAAAATAAACAGATGCCTGCTTCTGCAGTTCTGTTGAAAAGAAAATGTGGGCCAGGTGTGGTGGCTCATGCATGTAATCCTAGCACTTTGGGAAGTTGAAGTGGGTAGATCACTTGAGGTCAGGAGTTCAAGACTAGCCTGGCCAACATGGCAAAACCCTGTCTGTACTAAGAATACAAATATTAACTGGGCATGGTGGCAGACGCCTGTAATCCCAGCTACTCAGGAGGCTGAGGCAGAAGAATTGCTTGTACCTGAGGGGTGGATATTGCACTGAGCCGAGACTGCGTCACTGCACTCTAGCCTGGGCAACAGAACAAGACTCCGTCTCACAAAAAAAAAAAAAAAAAGAGAGAGAGAGAGTACAGATGCTAAAGAAAGGTTCCATATTTCCATTTCATGAGGTGATGAAGATCTTAGCAAAAATCCACGGCTCCCCGCATTACACCCACCCCTTGTCTGTCTGACATTAGGAAGAGGGAAATATTTTAATATACCAAATATTTACAACCAATAGTTTTATGTGCTTGAAAGTATATCCTTTTTAGAAGATGTACATCTCTATATAATAAATATTGCGTGTACTATGGACATTTTGATGGCTTCTGTGGAAGACTCCAGCAAGGAGCAGAGTATTTCAAATGAATTTAAAGTAATATTCTGCCCCGTGAATGTGATTCATGGGGCATCAGACAGTATTTTTCGGTCTCAGTGTTCATTCTCTGGCTTTAACTCAAACTTCCTGTTAATATTAATAGCAATAGGAGTCAGAATTTTACAAAATATATAAAACGCAAAAAGGTAAAGGTAGAAATTTTCCTTTCACCAGTTTCCCTTCCATGTGGATATTTTGATCTGCAAAATGAACAGGTGCTCATTTTCTCCAAAAAGCCTAAACCCACCCAAAAATAGAACGTGTTCTTCTGCACCAAGGAGGGAAGAAGCTGGGAAGATTTTTGTTTTTGTAAAAAATAATTCTAAAAATTAACCTTTACTATATAATACTGAAAAAAATAAGATTTTCCCAGGAAGATTTGATACTAAAGTTTATTTTTATATTTGTATAGAGATACAATTCTTTCACAAAAATGCACTTTTTTAAAATTTAAAAACAGTAAAAGTATTTTTTTGTAAAAATGAGACAAATGACCCCATTCCCACAGGCCTTCCTCTTCACATCAACTGGATCCCTGTGGGTGGCCACGTACAAGGCTGTAGAGATGCCCAGGCTGGGCAGTGAGGCCACAGGCCGGGCACCAGCCTCCTTCATCCTGGCAGTGTGTCAGGGCAGCGGCCCGTCATGATGGCACCTGGTCCATGGGGCAGACAGTCCTTCATCATTGACGGCACCTGGTCCATGGGGGCGGTGGCCCCTCATGATTGACAGCACCTGGCCCACAGGGGAGGAATCCGTTCATGATCACACCCCTTTGAAACCGAGACCCTCAGTATCTCCTCCCACCAGGCCCTTACAAAGTGGGGCCCGGGGCCGGAAATTGTTTTATTTTTATTTGAGACACGTAGTTGATTCTAAGATCTCCTTAGCTTTGGGTTTTAATCAAAAGGTAATGGGGTCACCTGTAGATCTCCACAGCTAACATCTACTGAGAAGTCACCAGCTCACCGCCACTCCTAGGGTGCAGGCTCCGGCCTTCGGCTCCCATTTCCAGGTACAGAAGCAGAGGGTCAAGGGGCCCAGCAAGGTGTCTGTAGCCCTGGAGCTGGCCAGGAGCCCAGGCCTCCTGCCACCCACCCGGGAGTCCTCACACCACAGGGCCCACCTCCCTCACTGAGCAGGGGACCCTCCGAACCCACAGCAGCCACGCCCGCCTGGTGAGTCCTCCTGGGGGGCCGATTTTGTCTTTGTCCCTCCTTGGAAAACAGTAGCCGTTATCTTGCAAACGTGGATCCGTTTTCCTTCTGCTCCACGTCTGTGCTTTCCATATCCCATGTGAACACTAAAAACAGAAAACGTTTTTGAATCTGATTTAATTTCCAATATGTGGGCATTTGACAGGATATTATTCTGAGCAGATAATTCTCATTGGTGATGTTGCTCTATGAATATTCATCCGGAAGTTTTCTTTACGTCTTTTAGAAGGAGGACTGGAAAATGCTCAGAATCCCAAAAGGCAAGGAAATGAAATTACAAACATCCTGTCTTTTTTTTTTTTTTTTTTTTAATGGAGAACCACGCATCGAGTATGTCTTTCACTCAGATGTGTGTCTTGAATGCAGGCTTTGCTCGTACAAAGCACACGGGGTTTTCACAACGCTGAGCCGGGAGAAATGACTGAACTCTGGCAGGACGAAAAGCAGAGAAACCTTTAGAAAAGATCAGGTGAGACACAATTACAGCTCAAAGTTAGAGTCTTCAGCCACTGGGTGCAAACAGATTTTTCAAGAGCAGAACTGGATTTGCAAAGCCCAGAGATTATTCTGCAGAAGGATAGGCTCCGTGGAAAAAAGGGATAGAAGTTAACCTAGTGCTTTGGGAGGCCGAGACGGGCGGATCACGAGGTCAGGAGATCGAGACCATCCTGGCTAACACGGTGAAACCCCGTCTCTACTAAAAAATACAAAAAACTAGCCAGGCGAGGTGGCGGCGCCTGTGGTCCCAGCTACTCGGGAGGCTGAGGCAGGAGAATGGCGTAAACGTGGGAGGCGGAGCTTGCAGTGAGTTGAGATCCAGCCACTGCACTCCAGCCCGGGCAACAGAGCGAGACTCCATCTCCAAAAAAAAGAAATTAACCTAGCGGTGGGTTGTGACAGAAGACAGTTAACACAGTGAGGTCCAGTTTTATTGAGAATGAGACAGCAAGTGGTTTTGAACATTAGGAATCATATTTTTAAATGACTCATGTGAACTTTATTTTTCTCATTTTATGGTCTGAATTTCAGTGAATTCCAAGAACATTTTAGTTATCAAAGGATAAAATATCTAACTAAATGAATTTCACTACAGAAGAAAATAAAACATTCCCAGCATATAAACAAGTTTCTCCAAATCTTACTTTCAGTGTTTAGTTGAACTCCGTGTGTTTCAATATGAGACACCAGTCAGCAAATGCCTTCTAACAATCATCCAGTCACTGACACTGCCCAGGACCCGCTGTTTGCATTCTCAGCCTATTTTCATGTGTGACTGTTTTCTTCCTCCAGGACTCCCCGCGTATCACAGCAGTGCCAGAGGAATCCTGGCAGTCAGCCGGAAAGCTAGTTTACCCCTCCGGGCCCATAGTTCATGGGAACTGATGTTCAGCTCCTCTGATAGCCTCTCATAAATGTACAACCATGAATCCTGCTCTGCCCTTGCTGGTGGAGGGACCATTTGATTGTTGTCCTTTCAGACAGATAAAAGTTGGGGCAGGATTTTTCAAAACAGATATAAGATGTAAAACATTTCCATGTTCTGTTTGCTCCTTTCAGTGTTTGGGACAAGAGATAGACAGGTGGAGAGTACATAACCCCTCCCCAACACCCGCAACCCCCGCAGGTTTCCAGCCTGCCTTGTAAATACTGCTGTCAGCACACAGGCTGTCAAAAGCAGAGGAGCCGAGGCTTGGAAGACTGTTGGCTTAGGAGTTGGGGGAACTCTATCCTTTCTGAGGTGACCACAAGCAAGTTTAAACCCGTGTGAAGAATGTACCGTGTTTGACTCTTTTGCTCATATATGGAAGAGAAAAAGTCACAATCCCTGTTCCCCACCCCCTCACAACCTCATTATGGGCATCAGGTGAGAAATCTGGGAGGAAGTTCTCAGCAAAGCAGGAAAAGCGGGTTTTCAGATTTGAGCCTGTGCCTGCCTACTCTAAGGGTGTCCTTATCCAGCATCCAGGTGCCTCCTGAAGTTATGAACGGAGTCCGTGCACACACGCTAGAAAAGCAGCAGGAAGCACTCACAGGCAGCCCCGTTTCCCTAAGGAAAAGCACTTCCTGTCTGTGAAAAAGGCCCCGATAGATGCGGGGAGTAGACATATATGTTCCTCATTTCAGGGAGGCGCTTGCAAGCACACCCTGTCACCAAGCTGGAGAAGTGCACATGGAAAACGCAGGTTTACGGTGGAAGAATGAAGACATGCCTGGCACATCGTGAGGACCATGGCTAAGTCAGTGACAGGGAGGTGGGATATGCTGAAATACAGAATTAACAGTTTGTAAAGCCCTTAACAGGTTAAAACCCTGGGATAAACTAACACAATCTGTTTAGAGAAGAAAG